AAGGACTAACGTCAGTGTTGCCGTCTACTCGGACCCAATCCCACATACATATGTATTATTTACACTAGTAACTGTTTATGTAAATATGTATGTATTTTTTATGCTTAATATATGCAAATAAAAGAAGAAAGTAAATACAACTACCATCGAGTAAATTTTTATTTGTGTCAAACTGAACGTTTTTTTCCAATAATAAACGGTTAGCTGATTCAAGTCTACAGCAAGTTCACAAAATTAATTGATAACTTGTATCAACCAAAGCATTGTTTATATTTGCTCAACAATGATTTTATTCAACTAACAATATTGTCCACTCAAGGTAGTCGTTTTGTAATTATTAACAAATATACATTTGTCCCAACTAGAAGTCTCAAGCAAATTGCAGACTTTTGTGAACTAGGTATTTATTTCGCCATATCCAACTATGCTACTTGGTCACTATAACCAAATCTTGGTAATTATAACTAAACCTTTTTCCGAGTGTATATCAAATCGCCCAAATAATATTAATACCGTGACTTGCAAAGGAATAAAAATATATAATATTAAATAATATAAACTTATTTTTTTGAGTTTTTTGCATTTATTTTTTTATAAGTTTTTTTACAAGCAGTGTTTCTGGTTTACAGCTACATTGAATATCAGAATTAGAGCATAAGAACATATTAGTATATAAAATTGTTAATAACCTACCCAATTTTGTTTTCAGTGAAGTGCATGAAGTTTGAAGCTTCGATACTAAATATTTAGTAAGCAGTTCCTTTTAAACAGATTCTTAAAGAAAACTCTAAAACTAAAGGGGAGAGTAGATTTTATTCTACTTGCATGAAAACTTCGGACCTTAGGTCCAATTTTGCCTGCCTATTTCTCGTCGCGCACTTATTACTTTTGCTTAGCAAAATAACAATTTAGTGTATATTGTGTAAATAAACAATAAGAAAATGAGATTTATATAAACCCCAGAAAAAATGCCTAACGATTTTCATGAACAGGTATGTATGAGTAATGCATACTATTACGTAAGTATGATGATTAATTTTATAGTTTAGGGAAATGTACATATGTATGCATGTATGTAAATGTAAAAATTGTTTATTTAACACGAACGAGGAGCTTTGATCCACCATAGAGAATGATTGCGTGTTGTGAATAATTTAAACGCCCGGAGGTGGCGGCTCGTCAAAATGCGTTTTTATTTCCTTGCAAAGGGGCTGAGGTTTTTGAACAGGTGGAATATCTATCATGCCGTCAGGAACCATACTCAGAAGCTCCTCTTCACTTAACTGAGCTAAGCGGCTAGATGTCTTTCCTGCAGGTTTTGCTGAAAATACAAAAACATAATTCAAACTACTTTCGTTGAAAAATGCCACCGAAAAAAGTCAGCGATAAAATTTGTTTACCGCTTGTTTCAAATGAAACCAACTCAGGATTGTACTCTTCATCTGGACCCAAATTACTAAAGGCTTTTGTTGCAGTTTTAATCAGGGACGTCTGTGACGGTAGTGCAGATGCAGGTAATTGCGTTTGGCCACCTTCTGGTTTGCTTTTTATGCTGGCAAGTATTTGAGAAAGGTTTGAGGGGATAGATATATTTGCCAAAGCTGCGGAGGTCTTAGATGATGACGAAGCCGCAAAACACTAAAAAATAGGGAAATGTGTACTTATATTTGATTATTTTAATTAATATCTTACCGACGATTCTACATTTAGCAGACCAGCTATCTCCTTTTCTTGTGCAGCGATTTGGCGGTTTAACTCTTCCATTTTTCGTTTCAATTCATCCTCATCGGCTCTTACTGCCCTTTTTGATGCAATGAGGGTATCATCATCGGAACTTCCTCCGGGTGAATATGGCTCATCAGCATCATCGGTTACAGATGTTAGTAGCATAGAAGTAGCTAAAAAATTATATAAACGTATTCTACAAATCGTCGTTTAAAGTGCAAAACCGCGTACCAACAAAATGCAAAACCGAGTATGTGAAGTTGTAGAAATTATTTTCTAGCGCGTAAAAACACTCATATTTCAAAATGGTTCTCTTTTTTATAAAGCAATCGCATTTCTGGCTAGTATATTTCATGACGATTGGATAGGGATTGAGCCAAGAGTTTATGTGACCAAATCCAATTTTTGGCAGCCAATGTCAGTTACGCGGTTTTGCAGAATGACGATACGCGGTTTTGTACTTTAAACGACGATATGTAACTTTATATTGAAACTTGATTTACATACATTTGTGTGACTTTGCAGTGATTGGAGCTTTTATTATAGCATCCACGTCGATTTCATCAACTTTTGGTGTAGATGCATGCATTCGCCTCTTTCTTTTTGGACTGCCGGGTGGAGTAAAGCTGACCGTTTCTGTACCACGCCGGTAGGACTAAAAGCAACAATACCAAACTGTTAATAGTTCCCTATTGCGAGTATTTGCTAGATAACTGAATTGAAACTTGAAACGTTGGCACTCCGCGGGCAAAGGATATTATTCAAAAGTCTCAAGATAGCAATTAAACTCGATCTCTACTTTTCCTGTACGAAAAAATTCAACATATTGTTAAGCAAATTTAAACAACAAAGCAATGCGGTTATTTATACCATTTAAGTTAATTTTACGTAAAAATGAGAGATTCTAATATAATATGCCTCCAAGAAATCATTTATTATATCGTCATCAATGCAAAATACTATATTTATAAATGGCCAGAGACTCTCGCTTCAGTAGTAACTCTTGGGTACTTGTATGCTGTTACAACAACAACAACCCTATTTGACTAATATAAAATTTTACAAGTGAAAAAACTTTTTAACTTAACATGGGAAATGGTTGCAGATATATCTCAAAATCACAATAACAAATGTTTAACATTGAACTTTGGTATTAGTATAAAAAAATCATTTTCGAAATATCTCAATCAGGGTCTTTTGAATTTATAACGAAAATAAACTAAGTTTGCATCCTAGAGTTGAAATATATGTGTAGCAAACAAGTATGTACAGTCAGTCAATAAAGTTTAGGTACAGCGAAATTTTTGCAGTACCGACAACTTTTTAAATTTTTTTTGTATAATTTTTTACAAAAATATGGTTAAACTATGAAACATTTTTAACAAGCTCGATTAAAATATCATTAATTGTCGATGTTTCGACCTCAGTCTGAGGTCATTTTCAGGAACTCTTGATTGTGATATCAATAAACGAAGATATGAGTTTTATTTAATTGCTGTTAAAAATGTTTCATAATTTAAAATTCAAAAGCCAACAACAAAAACAAAAAAATATGGTTAATTCTACAACAAAAACCCCAAAAAGCAGAGTCCCAAACCTTATGCAAAATTAAAGAAAATTCTGCAAATTTTCATCCGTTGCATTTTTTATTTACACTCATTAAAAAGGTGAGTACGCAGTTTTCTAACCCATTCAATTTTAGTACAACAAAGTGCAAGTTTAAGGTAGCTAGGACTTACCATTGATTTTTAGCAATTTTTTTTTGCTGACACCTTCGACAATATTTTTATATGGAAAAAATGTGCGACACCTTCAACAAAAAAAATTTGCCAAAAATCAATGGTAAGTCCTAGCTTCCTCATAATTGCACTTTATTATACTTAAATTGAATGGGCTAAAAAAACTGCATACTCAACTTTTTTCCGTATAATTGCACTTTATTATACTAAAATTGAATGGGCTAAAATACTGCACACACAACTTTTTCCCGAGAGCGTAAAAAAAGTGCAATATTTGAATGAAATTTTGCAGAATTTTCTTTAATTTTGTACAAGGTTTGGAGCAATGATTTTTGGGGTTTTTGTTGTACAATTAACCTTATTTTTATAAAAAATTTGCGAAAAATAAAATATTAAAAAAAGGTTGCCCGTATTGTAAAGAATTCGCTTTTGTTGTTGTTGTTGTAGCGGCTACAACAACCCCGCCCAGATCGGTTGGTATCTCAGTCGTTGTCGTCAAGTTCCACTAACGGCAACCCTAGGAAGCGTGCAGCTTCTGTGGGATCTGTCCACAGGGACAAGGCCGTTAGGGTTGTCGGGTTTTCCGGGCATGCGAAGAGATGGTTCGAGTCATGTGGGGTCTCTCCGCATGCCGGACATTCGTTCGGCACATCCTCATTCAACCTACTCAAGTAGGAGTTTAACCTGCTGCAGTAGCCGGAGCGAAGTTGAGCGAGTGTAGTGCGTGTCTCCCGAGGCAGATGAAGCTCTGTCTCGTCTATGTCCGGGGGTGGTATGCCTAGAACGGCATTCACAGGTCTAGAGTCTACATAACTCGAGACTGAGTCCCTGTGAATGCCGTTCAGGGCCTGTCTGTACGCTGTCGGGTCCAGAGGTTGCTTAATGAACCTCTGGACTTCGTCCGTCAGTTCATATAGATGCCTCCTGACGTGCCTAGGCGAGGGCTCCTCTGCAAGCAGCTGTCTGTTTGGGTGGCCACTTCTGTGGCTCCCGATCAGGAACTGCTTGCGGAGCATTATATTATGCTCCTTAACTGGGAACATTTGCGCCTCGCCGTGCAAGTGGTGTTCAGGCGACATCAGGAGGCATCCCGTCGCTGTCCTAAGTGCCGTATTTTGTACCGTCTGTAGCTTCGTCCACTGCGTCCTACTAGTCCCTGGCGACCACACTGGCGCTGCGTAGTTCAAAACCGGCCGGCCTATTGCCTTGTATGTTGCCAGCAACGTTTCTTTGTCTTTGCCCCAAGTACTGCCGGCTAGCGACTTGAGGACCTTGTTGCGGCTCTGTACTTTATTGACAATAGCAGTTGCGTGCGCAGAGAAGGAGAGCAGGCTGTGGAATGTTACTCCGAGTATTTGGGGTTATTCACCGTCGGAATTGGTGTGTCATCGACGTGAATCCCCAGCGGTAGCCTGACCTCCTTCGTCCAGGTTGTGAACAGGGTCGCGGAGGATTTCGTTGGGGAGAGGGCTAGACACTTTGCAGTGAAGAAGCGAGAAAGTTCGGAGAGATAGCCGCTTACTTTCAAACACAGGTCATCAATTCCATTCCCAGTCGCCATGATCGAGCAGTCGTCGGCATAGGAGACAATCGAGACTCCCTCTGGTGGTTGAGGGAGCTTTGAAATATAAAAGTTAAACAGTAGCGGGGAAAGGACACCACCCTGAGGAACCCCCTGTTTTATTTTTCGCTGCTTACTCGTTTTGTCTCTAAATATTACCGACGAATGTCGACCACTCAGATAATTTGCCGACCACCGTTTGAGCCTCTGTGGGAGAGAGGAGGCCTCTATATCTTCTAGCAGCGTGGAATGGCAGACGGTGTCAAACGCCTTTGACAAGTCTAACGCTACTAGAATCGTTCTCTCACAGGGACGGTTGCGGTTAAGGCCACGAGTTATCTGAGTGTTTATGGCGTTAAGTGCTGTTGTTGTACTGTGCACTTTACGGAAACCATGATGATGCTTCGCTGGGGTCAGGTGGTTTGTGAAGTACGGGAGTAGCAAGGCCTCGAGTGTCTTCGCTACCGGGGAAAGGAGTGTAATCGGACGATACGAATCTCCTTTGTTGGCGGGTTGCCCCGGTTTGAGCAGTGGGACCACTCTCCCCACCTTCCAGATGTCTGGGATGATGAGAGTGGCCATTGACAGGTTGAGGACCTCCGTTAGGTACGCTACCCCCGCAGGACCCAAATTTGTCAGCATCAGCATGCATATTCCGTCGGGACCCATGGCTTTGGAGGCTTTCGCCTTCCCGATGGCAACCTGAACTTCACCGCAAGTGAAAGCAAGGGGGGCACAAGTTGTTGGCAGTTTGTGCAGACTTCTGGTCACTCGACGCTTGGCTTTGTCTACCGGAGGATGCAGTATGAACTGCCGGCTAAAATAGCTCGCGCATCGCTCCGGGTCCGACGAAGCATGGTCGCCGAAGGAAATTTCGACTCTGTCGTCGTGCTTCGTCGGATTAGACAATGACCTCACGGTTGACCAAAGCTTGCTCACACCAGAGGTGAAATTACAAGTCTTCAGGTGCTCCTCCCACTTCTTCCGCTTATGTACGTTTACTAGTTGCCGAATCTCCGCGTTGAGATCCCTGATACGGGGATCTCCGGGATCGGCCTGACGTAGGCTATCACGCTCATCAGCTAGAACAGCCGCTTCGGCAGGGAAGTTTGGACGTGGGTCCGATATACGTCCTGCCGGTATGAAGCGAGCTGCAGCAGCAATGATAGCCCTGCGGAACTTACGTTCACCGAGATGGACGTCGGTTGGTGTGGGGAGCGCTGCGAAGGTGTTTTCAGTAAACTCCGCATAACCTTTCCAATCAGCTTTGGAAAAGTTGATATAGGTCCGGTGTTTGGCGGAGGCAAAGTCGGTTGGTTTATCAATCGAGATGACTATGGGTAGATGGTCTGATGCTAGAGTCAGCATAGGTCGCCACGTTATGCTGTTTATCAGACCAGCGCTGACTATTGTGATGTCTGGCGAGCTACTGCAGTTACCCATAATCCTGGTGGGTGCGTCGTCGTTCATTGTGCAGAATGTCGAATCGTCTATCTGCTCAGCCAAGTCTGTTCCCCTACGATCGTTCGACAGGCTTGAGTGCCAAAGATCGTGGTGCGCATTAAAGTCACCTACTACCATACGGTTTTCACCTCTGAGGAGCGCACCTATATCAGGGTGATATCCTGCCGGGCAGCAGGTGACAGGGGGTATGTATATGTTAAATATTTCGAGCTCGACATCGCCTGACCGGATAGCGATGCCCTGACATTCTAGGGTGGTATCCCTGTGGTCGATGTCTGCTTCGATAAGACGATACTGCACGGTGTGGTGCGTGATGAACGCTAAGCCACCACCATTATCTCGCTCGCGATCTCGACGGTGCACGTTGTACCCGGCGCAATTCAACAAAGTTGAATTGCTGTGCAACTTCGTCTCTTGGACCGCAGCTATTAATACACCATGCCGACACATGAAAACGGTTATCTCCTCAATCTTGCTCTGTAGCCCGTTACAGTTGAATTGGAGGAGCTTCATGTGGTTCGGGAGACGTGTCGTGATGTGGGGTGTGAGTGAGGTGTATGTTCTTGCCGCCGTTGGCTGTGTGTGCGCTGAGGTGATTGCCGCCCTGTGGTGGTCGTGGGGGCGTCGCAATTGACGTCTGCGACCGAGCAGCGCAACACGGGCCCTCGAAGTTCCCCGTCCAATCTCGCGTGGTACGCAGACCTGAACATGCCCTAAAGTGGCACCAGCCAAAGCAGGTGTTGCACTTGACTGATGTCACATTACGGAATATTCTGGTCTGACATACCGTGCAGATTGTAGGGGGAACCAGGAGCGGCGGCGTGTGGGTGGTGGTGCGGTTGTGTGTGTTACGTGGTCTGTGGTGGCTGTGGTACGGTCTGTGGTGTTATTATGTTGTTGTGTTGTGGCGACTGTGTGTGGTTGCTGTGTGCGGACTATGGTTTGCCGTGGAGGCTGCTCTGTTTGAGCAACAGGGGGCCACGTACGACGTGGTCCACTGTCTGTGTGTCCGTAGTCCCGAGCAGACCCTGAGGTGACTCCACCCCTCGTAGGCATTACACTTGACTGAGGTGGAGTTGTGGTGTAATCGTCTTCGGCATACACAGCAGGTGTATATTTCTGGCCCAGGGTTTGACTCGATGCCAGCCCTGAGTAGGAGAAAGCGTAGTGAATGTTGCCCTATGGACGGACAACTTCTGAGATACTTCGCCGACCTAAACGGGGTTAGATCGCCGAAACAACAGCCCTTGGTCGGGTGAAACCCGAGTCATTCCGGTACGTAGAACCGCTGTTCCTAAACATTATTGACTGACTGTATGGAATCACATATCGTCGCCCGTATGCCAGAAACATGCATGTGTAAACATGAACATTTTGGGAAATCAAGTTTGAAAGTTTTTTTTTAACGAGACTTAACTACATTTATGCAATTCAAATTGTAAAATACACTTAGGTCTCTTTTTATGCGGTAGATGCGTTCCTCAGAAAGCCACATAAAAAAATCCGCATAAAAAAGTTCTTTACTTTCATACAAAAACAGGGGATGCGTTCCAGCATTTTCAAAAACCGCATAAATTCAGATACTCCATGTAAAAAATTCTAAAAAAAAGCGCATAAAAAAATCTAGTGAGGCATTATTGAGCAAAAAAATTATTTATTTCTTCACTTCAACAACTATTATTCCATGTGAAACCGAACATTAATGAAATAAATAAAATTTTATCTGCATTTTAACAAAAAAAAAAATAAATAAATAAAAATACCCCAATACATGAATTATGTAAGAATACATAAAAAAAATTAGAAAAACAGGGTTTTTCTTAACAGCGGCCGCCCCTCGGCAGGCAATGGCAAACCTCCGAGTGTATTTCTGCCATGAAAAACAGCTTCTCGTAAAAATACAATCGCCGTTCGGAGTCGGCGTAAAACTGTAGGTCCCTCCCCTTTGTGTGACAACATCAAGACGCACACCACAAATTGAAGGAGAAGCTCCACTTATGTGTAAGCGCCCATCTATTATTATTATTACTAGCTAAGAATACAAAGACAAATTATTTATCAGAAGCATCGTCTTTTACACACTGAAAAAAGTAATAAAAACTCTCAAAAAAGCAAAATTACTACTGCGAAATAATGGTTTGAAAAACCGCACAAATTCAAATACGCATAAAAAGAGACCTAAGAGTATATGGTTTCCGGTCATGCATGTCATTCTGGATTTTGGTATAACATCGAACATCTAAAGGTTAATGAAAACCCAAAACTGATAAATTTGCACATTCATGCTTCTAGCATAAGGATGACGATATGAAGTGTTTCTTAAAAGCACTATACTATGTATAAAAATGATTCGTATAAAAAGGTTTGCATGCAATAATCAAACATGTTCATTACTTTAGATGTAGATGATGATGTCGAAATGGTAGATACCGCGGAGTGACGTTTTCCAATTATCCTCACTACGACACCCATCAATATATCCGGCCGATAAGGATCTTCATAAAAGTCTACTTTTTCGGTTGGTTGTAATACTGAGGGCATTGTCTTGCCTGCCCCCAGTGGATATATGTAAAAATCTTTAATCTGCGGCGAAACAGTATTTATAACACCCAAACGATTTCTATTTTCAAGGTATTGGAATAAAACTTTATATGCTGAAGTTTCTGATTCCGAGGCGGGGATCAGACGTATTATGACGATCTCCTTGTTGGGACTCCTTTTGATTTTCGATATATACTCCCATACAGTATCAGGTCCAATACGTCCAACAACATCTAATTCATCTGGTAACAAAGTTCCAAGATTTAAGGAATTGCCAACAACTGGTTGAATTACAATCTGGAACGAGGCAACGTCGACCATATTAATGTTGCCACTCCATATACATGCCGTAGATACATTTCCACTTAATGTTGGAGAGTCAACATCAGAGTAGCGAATGTATGGGTCTTGTGGAGGTGTAGCGACGGTACTAGTTGGTTCTTGATCATCACTTGTGTTGCCAATCGAAACTGAATGTCTGGGTTGAGATATATATTGAATTCCTGAAGATGTGGGCGAAGGTGGCGTGATAGTTTGTCTGCTCGATTCTTTCTTTTGCCTTTCTTTTTCCTTCCCCCCCTAATTTCCCTCTTTCGCTGATTAAATTTGCAGCCTCCTCCACAGTTTTCGTAGACTCTAATATTTGATCAATTAAACTGAAAGTTTCTATGGATTTTGGAGTTGTCGGTTTCTTTAATTTATTCTTGTCTTTAATGATGTTGCTTGCGTTACTCTTAATAGAATTTACATTAAATGGAGAATTCGAAACTGTGTTTTTCTCAATCGTCTTACTATCGAATTCCTCTTTCTCTAATCGAGCGTCACGGCTACGATCTTTTTCTTTAAATTTGTCTTTTTCTTGATCCCGTTCTTCTTTATCCCGCTTGTCTTCCTTGTGATGGCTTTTGTGTCGTTTTTCCCGACTGCGGCTTCGACTTCGAGAGTGACTTCTACTGCGCTTTCTTGATCTTGATTTATCTCTGTAACGGTCTTTATTTTTTCGTTGCTTCTCTCGGCTGTTATCGCTATCGTGAGAGCGGGCACGGGTATGAGAGTGTTCGCGATCTCGGCCGTGTTCGCGGCTTCGACCTCTCTCACAGTCGCGCTCTCTATCATTTTCCTTTAAAAGACTTTTTTTATTTTCTTCATCTAAAGGATTACCATCATTTTGTTGATAATCAAAAGAAAGAGCAGTTGGCCCCATATCTGCTTTAGCACTTTCTTCTATAGCGCTACTACTACTCACAACTGAGCTATTTAACACGGACACAACATCCTCAACAGGAATAGTCACGTCTAAATTAACACAGTCCTCTAGTTTACCCTCTATTACCTCCTCTCCTTTATGAGTCTTTAAAACATAGTTCTTAGCACAAGACAACAAATCAAGTTCTGATTTCTTTATCATTTCTAACTGATGTTTTGCTTCATTTTCGCGCCATTGTGCCAATTCTTGGCTTGCTAACTCATCCGCTGACATTCGAACTAGTTGCCTAGGTTGTATTATTTTAGTACAAATTTTAGCAAATAGGGTGCGATTCTTTCTATCTTTAATGTTGAACATCAATGATCGATATTTAGCCCTGTATCGAGAGCCGGTATCTCGATTAAAATACTCGTACATTTCTGCTTCCGTTTCCAAAACAAATTTCTCTATTTCCTCTATATTTAATTTTGGCAAATTTTCATTAGTTTTGTTGCCAATCTCACCTTCAGCTCTCAATTCGTTCATTCGCTGGATCAATTGTTCTTTTAGAGTACGGCGTACATTCAGTCGAATCGGTTCAGAGTTTGTGCTTACAGGTGAAGCATTTTCGGAATGCTTTTTGACAACAATATCCACTACTGACCGCTGTTTCGATGACTTTTCCTTTCGCTCCTTTGTATCTTCTTTTGCATCACTGCGGGCCGCTTTGTCTGGTTTGATTGAAACTTGTTGTGGATACTTTTGTAGTTGTTTGGGTGTACCTGGTCGAGGACTGTTTGGCGCAGTTTTAGCTATTTGTTCAATGAATTGCTTTACCGGCTTTTGCACTGGTAGGACCGAGTCGAATTCTTTTTGAGACTGAAGAGTTTTGGAAACGCTTGTAGGATTTGGAGACGCAGCCACTTGCACATTCTGTGTGGTGTGAGGTGACTGCGTGATATGTTTGCCAACACTAGAAATAATCACAGGAGATAGTTGTGTTTGCCGTTGCTTTTGTTTCTTCTAAAATTATAATTCATATCATTAAAATTTTATATTTAAATTACACCCGGCCTTAACTTACTTCCATTCCTTGAGCTTGGAAGGCTCCCGGTTGTACAACCTCAAACGTCTGATTTTCCTGAAGCCATTTTTTAAGATTTAGTGTTGTAGGCGCATTGCTCCCAGTTAACACCCTACCGCTTTTCCGCTCAATCACATGCACCTGCGATGTATTATTGAGAAAAATTAGTCATACATTCCTACTAGTTTAAATGTTATTTAAATTGTGTAAAGAGGAACTTTGCAATTAAATTTCCCCCATGGTGAATTCGCCATTTCAAAAAGTCGTTAGTCGTTATATCGTCGCCGCGGTAAAAGCTGCTAGCTTCACTTTTCGGTCAAAATAACTTTTTGATACCGACCGAAAGGGGGGAAATTTCTGTACATAGTGGTGGAAGCAAGTATTTACAATCGCTAAAAATAATCGAAAATAAAATCAGCTAACTCCAAACGCATTTATTTGTTTATATATATATATATATTTTATTTTCAATAAAAAGCTGCAAACTCCATAAATACCGGAGTAGGGGCGCTCGAAGTGTTACCAATTGAAAATGCTATAACTTTGCCTTTTTTATTTAAAAACATCAGTCCATCATAAAAACTAGTAAAGTTCGATGTATCCATATTTAGCGTGGATAAGAGCATCGAGTGTGTCCAGGAATGCTTCACATGCTGCATGAATGTTGTCTAGTGGTATTTTGTATTGAACAGGGCGTAATGATACATCAACAAATCTACCATGAAAAGATTTTAAACGATGCAGAAAAACCGGTCAGAAGTCAGATTTACCAATTGTTGCGAAAGTCCAGTAAAACACACTATTCCTAAAGCTAATAACTGATCTATTAAATGGTAGCCATGAAAACTCCCTCCGCTGCTTTCCCTTTGACATATGTCAACCTGAAAACAGTCAATGTTTTGATAGTTTTTTTCCACGCTTTAAGTCGTTCTACTTGTTTCTTCGGTAATTGTGTTTTAGCGAAGTACAGTGGTGTTAGGTTCAAGAAAAAACCTTTAGAACATGGAAGAAGGCCATTTCTACAATTTAAGACTTAATTTAAGTAACTTGCTTTTAATATGGCCTTCTTTTAAAAAATTTAAAATGTGTCTATTTTTATATTTTCGTATATGTATTGGTATTTTTGTTTACTTGTCAAGGTTTGTCGAAGTTTGGTTCCTTGAAATATATGTTACTACAGTTATCTTTGAGCAATCAAAGCAAAAATAATTTGCTCGCAAGTGCTCCATTTTGATTTTCGAGGGACCAAACAAATGTTCAATGTATAGTTGTAAGGAGAGTCGCACTGTTAGTCGGCATAAGTCTGGCCCTTAATTTGGTAAAAATTACGTAACGATTGAATACTAAGTATTTGTCAAAGATCTAAGAAAAACCCCGATCCATCGCTAGTTTTTTCTTCATCTGTAAAAATAACTTAAAAATATAAGAAAACAAATGCCGAAGATTGTATTCGTATTCATCGAAGCTGGGTTGGATGTGTATTTACGTGTATTTTAAACAGGAAATCTTTGCACGCCTTGGTCTTAAGGGCTCAAATTTTCAGGGAATTATTTTTAGTATTTCCCACAAAGTTTTGAGGTGGGAGTGAACAAAAAATTGTCGCAATAAAAGCACCCATTCATACATATATAAAAAGTATATAAAATCAAAAAAAAAATTAATACTTTCAGAAATATCAATAGCGTCGCGACATTTTGACATTGTTTGACTATTTTTCTTTTGTTTGATTAATGTTTATTAATTCTTGATAAAAGTATAGCTCATCTACCAAAAGCTATAGAAATCCAAATTTCAAGCTTTTTGCAAAAATTATAAAAGTTCTGCAAAATTCCCTGAAAGTTTCAAACTTTTTTTTAGAATCCTTTTAAAAAAGAAAATCGGCATCCTCTTTTGTAGCCCATACAATTTTTGTAGCCGAAAATTTTTTTCTATGCACAAGACCATTTTAATAGGCACGCTTAAAATACAAACAAAACACAAAAGCCGAAGGTTCTTAAATCTCTGTACAGTTGCTGCAGTGAAATCCGTCAGAGTAAACACAATTGCGGCGCACGACGCACAGTGGGGTAATCGACCCTGGAAGTGGAGATCAATTTAAACGTATGTACATTTAATTTAAAATATTTTGATGTATTTGTATAACTAGCACCAAATAAAGTAAAAAAGACAAATCCGAAAATAGTTTAGTGGGAATTTTTTTACGTAGGTTTTTATGGCGTTACCAAAGAGCGAGAAAAGTTAAAATTGAGTTGTTACTCCCACAAATAATTTTTATACCCGAGCGCACTTGTGCACAAGGGTATTATAACTTTGTTCACATAACGGTTGTTTGTAACAGGCAAAACGAATCGAGATAGATATAGACAAATCTTACTATCTTACTTCTTACTAATATTATAAATGTGAAAGTTTGTATGTTTGGATGTTTGGGAAATCATCACGCGGAAACGACTGAACGGATTTGCATGAAATTTTGTACGCAGAGAGCATATGGGCCAGATTGGTTAATAGGCTATTTTTTTAAGAGTTGCCACCTGTTAAAAAAGTTTAATTTATTTAATATGCGGGAACGACAGAATGGATTTGCATGAAAATTTGCACACAGATAGCTTATGATCTATATTGGAAAATAGGCTACTTTTCTTAAGAGTTGCCACCTGTTAAAAAAGTTTCATTAAATTAATACGCGGAAACGACTGAATGGATTTGCATGAAATTTTGCAAGCAGATAGCTTATGACCTACAGTGGGAAATAGGCAAATTTTTTGGAAGAGTTGCCACCTGTTGAAGAAGTTAAATTAAATTAATACGCGGGAACGACTAAACGGATTTGCATGAAACTTTGCACACAGATATCTTATGACCTAGGTTAGAAAGTAGGCTACTATTTTTAAGAGTTGCCACCTGTTAGAAATGTTTAATTTAATTAATACGCGGAAATGAATGAACTGATTTGTATGGAAGTTTTCACACAGATAGCTTATGAGCTAGGTTGAAAAATAGGCTACTTTTTTTAAGAGTTACCACCTGCTAAAAAAGTTTAATTAAATTAATACGCGGAAAAGTCTGAACGGATTTGCATGAAATTTTGCAAGCGGATAGCTTATGACCTACAGTGGAAAAGAGGCAAATTTTTTGGAAGAGTTGCAACCTGTTAAAAAAGTTTTAATTATATTAATACGCGGAAACGACTGAACAGATTTGCATGACATTTCGCACAGAGATAGCTTATGACCTATGTTGGAAAATAGGCTACTATTTTAAGAGTTATCAGGTATTAGAAAAGATTAATTAAATTAATACGCGTAAATTACTGAACTGATTTGCATGAAAGTTTGCACACAGATAGCTTATGACCTAGGCTGGAAAATAGGCTACTTTTTTAAGAATTGCCACCTGTTTGAAAATGAAATTTTGCTCAAAGGTGGTTTATGACCGGGATTGAAAAATAGGCTACTTCCTTAACCGGTTTTCCGATCAGAACGAAATTTAGTACACTTACTACGGATTTCGGAAGGATGGTCTTAGACTGAAAGTAAGTCCGGTAACTCAAGGTCCCTCCCATACAAATTGGAATTTTCATATTACATACATATCTCTGGAAGTATTTGTGGGGGAGAACTGAAACTTGGTATAGTGATATGTATGTGAAATCAATGTTGGCTTTAATCGATTGATGTTTTAATCAGTTAGCTAACTCGATTAAATTCAATCTGATTACAGTTAATCATGATTAATTTTAATCTGATTAAACACTTAATCGTAACCGCGATTAAAAAATTAATTTTTAATCATTAACTCTTAATTTGGTCAAGTAGGTTTGGTGATTAATTAAGTTATGCTGGAATTTCCCTGTGCACACAAAGCAAGTTAATTCCTCATCAATCTAAGCAATTTGGTGTGCATTTTCATTAAGATATATACCAACAAACGTTATACAAACTAGGAAAGCAAAAGTTCCCAGTTTATGTATTACTAATAACAATAATTATAATTTTTGTATATTATGTGCTTTTTATAAGCGTAAAACACAAAATAATTACTACAACTGGTGTTTGGTTTCAAACTCGGACAAACTAGACAATTTAATCAGATTTTATTTTTAATTGGAACGAATAATGTTTTAAATTAATTAAACGTAATCGCAGCCAGCGATTAACGATTAAAAAGCTGTTATCATTAATCGTACAGTCGATTACGACTAATTAATTTTAATCGTCAAATGCGATTAACATTTTAATCGTTAATTTTAATCAGATTAACAGTTTGCCAACACTGTGTGAAATCATGTTCATATTCACGGAGAAAAATGGACTAATACCATACTCATGGAGAAAAATTAGAGTTATTGGAAAAGGTGGTGTGGCAACTCCCATGCAAATTGATTTTTCTATGCTGCATATCACTGGAGGTGTTTATTGCAGAGGACTGGAACTTGGCACCGAGATGTGTATACAAAATTAATTCCATACTCATGGAGAAAAATTTGCGTTATTCGAAAATGGGACATGGTTCCTCCCGTAAAAATTTACTGTTTTATACTGCTTATCTCTAGAGGTGTTCATGGTGGAGTACTGGGACTTGGTACTGTGGTATGTAAAATCAATTCTAAATTCATGGAAGAAGATTAGGGTTATAAGAAAAAGGGGCGTGGCACTTCCAGTACAAATTTACTTTTTCTTGCCACATATCCCTGGAAGTGTTTGTGGAAGAATACTGGAACTTGGTATGGAGTTGTGTATACAAAATGTATCAACTGCTCGTGTGAGTTATTAAAAAAGAAGGCATGTCGCCACCCATACATACTAAAAACTTCTTAATAAATATCTCTGGAAGGATAGAAAATCTCCCGAAGTATTTTAAATTTGTTATGGAGATTTATTTTATAAGTGCCGTACTGACAGAATAAATTTAATTAAATGGAAATGGGAGAGCCGGGTTCGCCCTTATAATCTAAAGCTCTCTTGAGGTATTTGCTACAGTAATGAGAAGTGGTATTTCATCAAGGCCAGGTTACTAAATTTGCGCTGGAAATATTAGAACCCACCGTGGCACCTCCAAGAAGGTTACACGTTCACGCGTCGTATACCTGGAACCATTTTATGGTAAACTTAGAGGGATTGATATCTTTCGTATGCCTA